AAAAAAAAAAAAAAAAAGAGTATTATAGGGATTATGAGCCCTCTCCATGATAAAAAGACATTTTAAAAAACTTTTGAGGTTGGGTGTGGTGGCTCACACCTGTAATACTAGCACTCTGGGAGGTGGAGATGGATGGATTACTTGAGCTCAGGAGTTCAAGACCGACCTGAGCAATATCAAAACCCCACCTCTACTAAAAATAGAAAAACTGAAGCAAGAGGATCACTTGAGCCTAAGAACTTGAGGTTGCTATGAACTATGACGCCATGGCACTCTAGTCAGGGTGCTAGACTGAGACTTTGTCTCAAAAAATATTTTTGTGTAATATTTTATCTTTATCATTAATTAATTATTAATTAATTAATAATAATCATTAATCTTTATCATTTATTAACAACCCTGAGAGTAACAAACCTTTATTATGGAGTACATTTTTTTGCAGGGTGTGCAGATAACCAATTACTAGAAGGTCAATTCCTTTTCTTCTTTCTTTAAACCATAAAACGTTTTTCAATTTGGATGCAAAGAAATGAGGGGAGGGATTTGCATTAATGGGCTTGAGTTTTCCATAATCTTTCCCAGCAAAAAAAATAATTCATTTGTTATTTTTTATTAAACCCAATTTATATCAAAGAAAAGTAGATACAGAAGTTCCTGGGTATTAGATGAAATAAATACATAGAGTATTAGATAAAATAAATATGTAGAATTCACTCAGTCTTTCGATCTCACAGAACAATTTATGATCAAAACCAAACACAGAGAAAAGACCAGGCGCAGCAGCTCACATCTGTAATCCCAGCACTCTGGGACGCTGAGGCAGGTGGACTGAGTGATCTCGGGAGTTCAAGACCAGCCTGAGTAAGAGTGAGACCCTGTCTTTAAAAATAGCCGGGCACTGTGGTAGATGCCTGTAGTCTCTGGTACTCAGGGAGCTGAGGCAAGAGGCTCACCTGAGCCCAAGAGTTTGAGGTTGTTGTGAGCAATGATGCCACAGCACTCTACCAAGGGTGACAAAGTGAGACTCAAAAAAAGAAAAGAAAAAAAATCCGCAAATACAGAGAAAATGAGGCGCAGGGAAGCGGCGGCCAGGCCTCTGAAGGATACTGTAAACACGAGGCCCAGGAGGTGAAGAAGTGCCTCCCCAGCATGTTCCCGCTCCGCGTGCACATCCAGCTGACACACTTGTCGTGGCCGGTGCTGACCACCCACTCTGCGGCCAAACTGAAGATAATTCCAGACACTCGGTTCTGATGAGCTGCGAGAACAGAAACGTAGGTGAAGAAACGTGTCCTCAGAAACGACTCTCCCCGGGAGGAACTGAGGCTCACCTTCTCCATCTGGTCTGCACAGTTATGCTCTGGACATGCAGCATCCTACCTGCTGGGCAGGAACACAGCACTCTGCCCACCCAACACCGCACTGCCACCCTCTCTAAGCCCCGTCTCTCTGCCCCCTCCACAAGGCTACCAGAGGGTACAAATAGAGTAGTGCCCAAGAGGGATTTGAATAATACAGATTTTTTTCTAGGCTCAAAATTTTTGAGCAGATTTTTGTCCTCTAAATCCTGAACTAATGATGAATTCCATGTGGAAAGCATCAGACTTTTCTTAGCAGAGCCATATTTTTTATTGTCTATAACTTTTGTGGTTTTGTTTTGTTTGAGACAGTCTTAAGCTGTGCCCTGGGTAGAATGCCGTGGTGTCACGGCTCACAGCAACCCCAAACTCTTGGGCTTAAGCGATTCTCTTGCCTCAGCCATCCAAGTAGCTGGGACTACAGGTGCTTGCCACAGTGTCCGGCTATTTTTTGGTTGTAGTTTTCATTGTTGTTTGGCAGGCCTGGGCTGGATTCAAACCCAGCAGCTCCGGTATATGTGGCTGCTGCTTTAGCCACTGAGCTACAGGCGCCAAGCCTACCTTATTGTTTTAACTCTTTAGAAAACACTGGTACTATAAATAAGAGCAACTACAATTTTCCAAAATTAAAACACAGTGTCAAACACTTTGTTTTTGAGCTGGGCATGATGGCATGCACCTGTAGTGCCAGCTACTCAGGAGGGTAAGGCAGGAGATGCACTTGAACCCAGGAGTTGGAGGCTAGCCTGGGCAACATAGCAAGACCCCATTTCACACAATAAAAAATAAAAAAGAAAGAAGGCCAGGTGTGGTAACTCACACCTATAATCCTAGCACTCGGAGGCTGAGGCAGGTAGATTGCCCTGAGCTCACAGGTTCGAGACCAGCCTGAGAAAGAGTGAGACCACCTCTAAAAATAGCCAGGCATTGTGGCAGGCGCCTGTAATCTCAGCTACTTGGGAGGCTGAGGCAAGAGAATTGCTTAAGCCCAAGAGTTTGAGGTTGCTGTGAGCTGTGACACCATGGCATTTTACCAAAGGTGACATACTGAAATTCTGTCTCAAAAAAAAAGAAAGAAACAAAGTCACTTCATCTCTAGAGTACCTTTTGCTTATGTGCAACTTTTTACTATTTATAAAGACAAAGTATTTGTCAAGTTCTCTATTCCAAGATATTAGCTGAGAATGAGGAAGGTATTCTGTCTATCTCCTGGCTTTGAAATATTTCCAGGTTAATTATAAGCCACACCAGGGCAGCTACACACAGAACTTAAATGCAGATGTTTAATAACTGCCCAGCCTGATGAATAAACCCAGAGGCCAGCTGAAGAAAGCACTGATCTTGCTCTCAGCTGTCTAAACTCCTTCAGAAGAACTGAGGAACTCTCCCCACAGTTCTCTGTGAAGGTCAGATTCACCCACTGCTAAAAGGTTACATCGAACAATTCAATACCCAGGAAGGCTCCTGAAACCTGAACAGTACTCTGATAGCTACTGATTAGAGGAAATAATAACTGCCTGACTCAGCCATTAGCTGAGAGCTGCCTGACTCAGTGACACATGTGGGGCTTAGTGCTTTTTCCGTTTTAATGATAATTTTAATTTGCATGAACACTTAGAAGGTGTGTATCATTTCCATTTTCAGATAAGAAAACTGAGCAGCAAACATTAAATGCATGCCCAAGTCTAGTGAGTAACAGATTAACTTGGTCTGTCTGACTCCAAACACTTTCCCCTAAACCTCAAACAGTGACAAGTTTCATACTAGTTTATGCTAAGGATATTAAAGTGAACAGTCGACTATTTTTTTCTTGGGAAGAAATGTCCTAGCTCTAAGATTATATCCTTTCTGCTGTTTTGTTTTTTTAAATGTCCTCTCTTCTATGAAACTGGTGAAATACAGCGATTCTTATTTTGCTTCATTTTTATTTTTGAAAACTCTTTCACTTAGCAAAATAAAAAAATTGGCAATCCCTGTATAAACCTTTTAAATATTTTAAAAAGTGTTACTAGTCAATGAAAAGTACAAAGGTCTGGAAGCCATAGAACTATGCTGCCTTATATTCTATAATGAACTTTGACAAGCAAAATGTAGACAAAAATAACATGGGGCATAAAATATGAAATAATTTAATAAGTAAAAATAATTTATTAAAGAATTTGCCCTTTGATAAAAGCATTGCCCGGGCATATAAAAAAAGGTCTCCAAATTTCTAAGTTAGTATTTCATAAAAGGCCTTAAAGTTTCTTTCTTACTTTAAAAATAAACTTGGAAGTGATAGCTGAGAATTCAAAATTGTTTCTGTTGTTGTAATAACACTGTTTAATGCTTGTACGTTCTTTAACAATGCAAGATTGAAAAGTGGGTCGTTCTTTGTCACACAACTTTCTTTCCCTCACAATTATATGCCAAGTTCAGAACTATGGTCATGTTATATCACTTTTCTCCTACTTTAATTTGGAACACGTGAAATGGCATCTAGGGAAAAGCAATTTGGCCTTTTTGCTAAAATTCAAAAATCTCTTTCCTATATACATACCCTATTATTATACCAAATTTCTCCAACAACATATATGTAAAACATTTCGACTCTATTTTTCACCTTTCCCCACCAGCATGAAGAATAAAATTTTAGAAATATAGGGTGAATAAAATGAGGCTAATTGTTATGTCTTCAGGCAAAGTTTCTGGGAATCAGCTAATTGGTCTGCTGGGAATCCACAACTTAATCAAGTTGCTCTGGTTTTGCAACTTCAATCTGAAGTTAACATCTGGAACTTGCTTCTGTTAAGTTTTAAAATGGAGTGGAATCTCTGTAAGTTGACCACCCAAAGGACTGCAACATGAGGAAATGGTCAACGTAAGGAACTAGGCCTACTGTGCTGACACTTACAGGTGGCACACGTCCAACCTATGAAATCAGGTCGACTTAAGGAGGTGGTCAGTGGAGGGAGGCGGGCAGCTGTGGACCTGCCCACTACTGTATCTACGCTTACAGTGCAAAGTAAAAACTGAGAAAAATGTATATGCCACAGATGTTACGAAGTAGTAAAAGCCTGGTACTAAAAGATGCTAATACTTTAATTAAAAAACACTACAACTCCCTGGAAATACAGTGACAAGTGGTCACCATTAAATAAAGCTTAACTAATTTTCAAACTGAGCAATCTTTGTGCTTTAAACGGGTGAAAAAATCTTCATAAGGTGGCAATGTTGTAGAGACACAATGAGCAGGCACTCAGCCTCTATCAGGGGGCTGTAAAAACTTACACTATTGCTGGAAAGCAGTTTGCAAAATAAATCTAGAGCATTCAAAATCTTTTTAAATGTTTGCCCGAGTTATTTCATTTACAGGATTTGGGTTTTAAATAGAAGTAACCATAATTACAGGATTAAAGTCTGAACAGGAGTGAAGAACGCACACCCCCACCCCTGTGTGTAGTACCGGTGTGTGTACACACACAGATAGAAAAACTGTACACACGCCTGCAGATGTACACACACAGTAGTGCTTGTTCTCAAAAAAATAGAAGCAATATACGCATCCAATAATAGAAGACTGGCAAAATTAAACCTGATACACAAACCCAACAGACAGAATTTAAACATGAGGCTGGTGTGAGTCGCTGTGCTTTTTCTTTTGCTCATCAGCTTTTGACATTACGAATTGTTGACTGACCAGGGTAAGGGAAGACAAGCACAAGACATCTACATGAATGAGCAGGAAAAAGACGATAAAACTCCAAAGCAATTCTCCCATAATTGCTATAACGAAATTAAAACCTTAAACTAAAAACCTAATTCTCAACAGAAGGGACGGTGGCCTCGTTTTGTGTCTGTCTACACGGGTCTGGGCGCAGGACAGGGTGTGGATTAAAATTACCTGGGTAGGTCTTGATAAAGTTCATTTTATTAAAATCTTCAGATATGTGAAATTCCTAAAAGGAAATAAATGCACACAATGAGAAAAGTTAGGGGTTCAGAAACAACAGGAGCTTAACTTTTAAAATGAAGTAAAATCCAAGAATGATTTTATCCCATGACCAGGACTTAGCATTTGCTCTTTAGTGCCTGTGACTGGCTTCTTCCGGCAGACCTGTCCTCAGGCCATCACTTCTTGGGGGGAGCCGACCGAATACCATAAATAAAGTGCCCTGAGCAGCTCAGCATTTTCAGCTGCCTCTTCCACCCCAAGTGATTGCTTTGTATTCCCTCTCCTTCTAACTGCAAACTTTTGTTAATTTTGTCCTCTTTGATGTACAAAAAGTCCATCACAATGACGCGTATGAAGCAAAACTTCAAATATAACAGAGTTCTCAGTGGCAGTAAGAAGGCGCCAAGTATCTCAGCAACTTAATGGGACGTCATACATATTTAATATACCAAACTCAGCAAAAAGAAAGAAAAATTCACAGATTGTAAGTGGTTTTCATCTTCTTTTTATACCCCTGTATTTTCCAAATTTTCTATGGACTCTGTAATACTTTATAAATTGGAAAAGACAGAACGTTTTAATGAACAAAATAAGCCTCAGCATAAAATTGAGAAGACAAAAATCACTAATTAAGAATTCTACTGCTCAAGTGCTGACCTGACAAGGACATTACGAATTGTTGACTGAGCCGAGTGAGGGGAGAAAAGCACACGAAGGAATATGGATTTCCTGGGCTGCATCTTGTTTTGGCCAAGTCTGAAAATGTCTCAGCATTTCATACATGAATCGGAATGAGGGAAGACGAACAGACCAATTGCCAGCTAATGCTAAACTGGATTCACTGGATTCACATTGCCCCTTCCCCGAGGAGCTGTAAGAGTCTATGTGCCATCCTATGACCACACAGTCTCGCCTTGAACCAAGAGCCACAAGAAGTTTCCCTAGAGAGATAACACGTAAGTGCCACAGCCACTGAGCTATCTGAAGCTTGTGCTCTGAGGCTTTTTTTTTTTATTAAATCATAAAGAGGTAGATCATGTATATGTTAATGCATATTGCAAGATTACATGTCAGATCTATTAAGTATAAAGATCTTAACACAATAATTAAGTAAATGAGGTGAGGGTTAATGTATCTTGCAATATGTACCCTAGGTGCGATCCCACCATTCACCCTCCCTCCATCTGACCTCCTACCCCCACCCCTTGTTATATATGTGCATTCCTGTCACCATGGTTTTCTTGTTACATTTCCAAGAGAAAGCATTAAAGGAGAACTATCTTTATAGGTATAAATGACCTTAGTTTAGGCAACAGTTCCTTAGATAGAACATCTACAGCACCAGTAACCCCTCAAAAAAGAAAATAAACTCGACTTCAGCAAACTTGGATGGAAGAAATGCAAATCATGTGTAAGCCATGTATCTGATAAGGGTCTGGCAGGAGTGTCCACCCTTCAGCCAGCAGGATGCACACAGACTATTTGAGGATGGTTTTGCTTACCTGCGATGTCAGATATTGCAGAAAGTATGTACAGACCTTTTCTTTTGCTCATCAGCTTTCCTTAGTGTTGGTATATTTAATGTGTGGCCCAAGACAACGCTTTTTCTTACAATGTGTGGCAGAAAAGAAACAAGGCTGCACGCTCAGGTGGCATTTAACACAGAAAACCCTCTTACAACTCAGTAACTGACAAAGCAAATAACCCAATTAGAAATGGGCAGAGAAATTAAATGGACACTTTCCCAAAGAATCTACACAAATAATCAGCCTGTTAGTCCATGAGAAGATGCTCTGCGTCACCAAGCCATCAGGGAAACACAGGGAGCTGCCATTTCACACCCACTGGGACGGCCGTCATCAAATCAAAACAAAGAGAAACAAAACAAGGGGACTCAACTAGTGTCGGCAATGACGTCGAGAAACTGGAACCCTCACACATTACTGGTAGGAGTAAAAAGGGGCAGTCACCTTGGAAAACAGTGTGGTGGTTCCTTAAAAGTTAAGTTACCAAATGACCCAGCAATTCCACTCTGAGGTGGTAATACCCAAGACAACTGGAGACGTAAGTGCACACAAAAGCTTGCACAGGAATGCTCACAGCAGCATTATTCATGCAGACAAAAAAAGGAAACAAGCCAAATGTCCATCCACTAATGAATAAACCAAGTATGAAGATCTACAGAAGGAAATGTGAACATCTATATAACGAAATACTATCCCATCACGGAAAAGCATGAAGTGACTAAGTCAAGCTACAGCATGCATGAACCTTGAAAACAGAGAAAGAAGACAGACACGAAAGGCCACACATATTCTGTGACTTTATTTACATAAACTATCTGGAATAGGCGAATCCACAGACTCAGAAGGTAGATTAATGACCACCAGGGGCTGGGAGAAAAGGGGATGGCGAGTGACTATTACTGTATGTGGGGTTTGGGGGGAAGAGAGGGTAATGAAAACGTTCTGGAATTAGAGAGTGTAATGGTCATACAATCCTATGGACATACTACAAAACCACTGAATCATGGTAAATATCATGGCATATAAATTATATCCCAATTAAGGAAAAATTAAATACATGCATACAATTAGATCCATATGAATACCAGTCTTTTGACTAGAAATTTAAATATCTCGTCTTATACCAAAGATGGTTGAGAATTACTGCCTTAACCACATCTGAGTTACTGTGAATGGCTAGCCCCTAACCTTGCTCTCTCCCATCCCTTTCCTCCCTCGACCTCCACATAGAGTGACAGGGGCTGACCACCATCACGGTTCAGGGACAGGGCTGCTGAGGTCCCATTCACTGGACAAAAGCTGTGGCCTGTGGACTAGCCTAAGCACCCAGCCATCAATCACGACAGCATTCTGAGGTCCATGGAAAGAGTTGAAAATTAAAACACTAATTTAAATTAACCCATGGTTTGACCTAACATCTATACTGAATAAACCATTTTTAATGCCAAATAATCAGACATCTATTGTTAACTGTATTTAAACTGGAGAATGTAAGTGAACATGCGGAGGTCAATGGAAAGAAAATAATGAATACATTCTGGAAGCTACCCACCATTACGGCTCCGTTATCCTGGCCCACAAATATCCGTCTGCTGTCATGATGGTAAGCCATAGCAGAGCAAGGAGCTGCCAGATAAAGAAAAAAAGACCACGTTACATGCAAAGTTAAGCATTAATAAAAGCTGTATGATTTTGTTTTTAAAAACTAGGGCAAAAGGGTGGTGCCTGTGGATCAAAGGAGTAGGGCGCCAGCCCCGTATACCAGAGGGGGCAGGTTCAAACCCGGCCTTGGCCAAAAACTGCAAAAAAAAAA